ATATATATATTTATATATACAAATTTACAATTTCGAAGAAAAATTTTAAAATAACTGTTTAATAAGAAATATATATACAAATGAATTTTTATGGCTCTTTCAAATTTCACCAATGGAGGGCAAACACAACCAAGGACATAATTGTATTTTATCTGCAATTTCAGATTAAACATTGCCACTAATCTCACATAAGTTTATCGACCCACAAATGGTGCCAAAGGTCTGAATGTCTCCAATAACATAATTACCCTCTTATCTTTTGATATCTGATATAAAAACATTATTACATTGAATAGTATCTAAATGTGATCTAAAAAAACTAAATAATCGATTTCAATTAATTATAATGTGAAAACAAATGCTCCACCTGGTACAGATCCATAGCAATGGAGACATTCGTACGTGTACATTATCTAAAAAAAAAATAATTTGTTTACGTTTCCAGATAAGCTGCTGACGCCAACCTTTTTGTACTATTTCTTTGTACGAGCTTGGTACTCTGACAGCTCTTACGCCATCTATCGTTCAGATGGAATCACACTAGACACCCGTCCTCCTGATGTAACGTCAAGAACTGGGATAGCTGTGAGTTATATCAAATTTCATACTAAATAATCATTCTCAAAATGATTTATATATTACCGGTAGTCAGCGGTGGCTCCAGAAATTTGACGACATGGGGTCCGAACCAAGGTGCCGACTATAGCCTCGGTCAGGGTCCCGGAAAAAATCCCTGTTAGGATTCACGAAGCAAGTTTTTATGGCTTAGTTTGGCGCAAATCTTGCAATGATAGGCAATCAAATAGCGTTAATAGGATAGCGACCTTGTAGTTAGCGTCGGACGATGGTTGGACGATGGCCTGTCTGACGGGGAGATGGAAGTTTGCTCCCCGCTGGTGCCACCAATGCCGGTAGTTAGGAATGATCACACAGCAGTCTCCAGACGTCTTAAGTTAAGGAATTTTACGGGTTTCACTCCTTCGGAGAAACATGAACGCCCTCTGAAGCTCTAATCGCCTTGTAGAAAGAACGGCTTGTCAATCTACTACAGCAATTAGTGATGGAAGTAAAACATGATAAACATCTTCCTACTGGAGCCGATTACAATTAGGCCTGGGGTAGGTCTGTCCAAAGTCACATTACATACAGTAAAATGGGGATATTCCGTCAACCAAATCATCTATAACTGTGGAAATGAGCCTCGGAATATGCAATGTCTCTCGATGCAATGTACCATAGTCTACTTGAGGATGCCTGCATCGTTACAGATCTCATCGGATACAACCACGAAGCAAAGAAATGTGTCCAGCTATGCCTGGGCAAAGTTTAGTGTTAATTATACATGGACTCGTGTAGATGAAGTTAGTAACAATAACATAAACTTTCTCATAAATACTCAATACTTTATTGCAATCATATATTACAATTGAAGTTTAAAATAATTATCATCTTTGAAAAACTCCCTGCATTGTAAACAAACTTTTAAAAGATCTGTGTTCACTTTCGGAAGCAAAAATTCAAGTTTGTTTCTGAGATTGTAATTTTGAGAAGGTGATTTTAATTTTCTAAAAGTAGTTCTTACAAAGTGAGATGCGACGATCAGACTGCTAGTATATTATTTAGTATTATTATTTAGTAAAGTTTTGTTTTATTAATGGCAGAGGACCATGTGTATAGGTATTCCTATCATATGGACAGATCCACCAGGTGATAAATACTCAATAGAGCAATAAGAATCAGGGTCATCAACTTTGGGTGTAGAGTCAATATTAGAATAAGGTACTGTACGTACGTTAATATTTATGAAATCCCATGGTGACAAATAAAAATGGTAAAGCATGAACGGTTAAATATTTAGTAAAGTATGAATGATTGAAATAATAGAAGTGCGTGTTTTGAGCTATAGACAAAGACAAAACTAATGAAAAGAAGTCATGTTAATGCAATGATGATTATGTATATTTGGCTGGACCAATAAAAAATAGCTTCCGACTCCACTGTAAGGTATAGGCCTACCAGGTGACACAATGCCCATTGCCCTCCTTTGAGTTGTTGATTCTAGGTCTGAACTTTGTTTCTTTGTCAAACAAGTCCCCCAAACAGTACAGCAATATTCCAACACTGGTCTGATCGTGGCAATGTAAAAATTAATTAGATCATAAGTATTAAGGCTGATCACCGGAATTACTAGAGAAAGTATAAGCTAGGACCGCATTTTTTAACAAGATAGTTAACATTGGTCTGCAAGTTTAATGATCTATCAATATGAACTCCTTAACAGATGTAACAATGTGACAAAATTCTTGGAAAATGGGTATTAAACTCTTTAAAGCTTTAATAATCATTTCATCAGATTAGTTACAATTTAATTTCATTCCATCATCGGAAGACCTCGTGATTATTTCATCAACACCCTCTTGAACATAAACAATATCTCCAGACTCTATTTTTTGGTAAAAGGATGTATCGTCCATATATTTCATCATGGACATATCACATTTAAGATCACTTATGAATGTAATAAAAAAAAAGGTTCCTAACCAAGAACCTTGTGGAATCCCACCACTTTGTTACTTAGCCATGACGACAAGTAGGCTAGTTCTTAAAATAAAATTATTATAATAATGATAATCATAAAGATCCTGCAAATTATAAAATTGAACATATTTAATTATTTTGACAATAGGTGAAAGAGCACATAAACGAAAGTTCCACCATCGACACTGACTTCTTAACTGAAACTGACCATGTAAGCATCTCTTGGTGGTACGTATTTCGCGATGAGTCAGGAGGCTTAAGTCACTTTGAAGTATCCCTCAGTACCTTTCCAGGAGGTAAGTGAATAAAGCCTCCAAATATTCTCAATTCAAAGCGTTATGATAAATTCATACCACAAATACTCAAGTAAACAC